TCACATTGTTGTTGTTATTGTTAAATGCCATTCAGTTCAGTGACCCTATAAAACAAAAAAATCTGAACTCTACCCTATTCTGCCCCATCCTTATCATTGTTGACACATTTGAGTCCATTGCGACAAATATCATATCAATCCATTTTGTTGAGGGTATTTCTTTCCTTTTATGACCCTCCACCTTTCCAAGCATGATGTCCCTTTACAAGGAATAGACTTTCCCAACAACAACGCTCAAAAATGTGAGATGAAACTTCACCATCCAAGAAAGGTTCTGGATGCACTTTCTCTAAGACATATCTGTTTGCTTTTTTGGCAGGCCATGAGATATTCAGTACTCTTCTCCAACATCACAACTGAAATGTATTAATTCTTCTCCTGTCAGCCTTACTCATTGTCTCATTCTCTCATTCTCAGATACATAGCAGGTGACTGGAAAGACTGTGGCTTGAGTTAGGTACACCTTAGTCTTTTAACTGACATCACTGCTCTTCAGGACTGTTAAGACACCCCTGACATCAAACTTTTCAATGCTATACCTCTCCCAATCTTCTGGTTGCTGATGTCTGGGAAATACTATAGTATGAATCCAAATAGGACTAACTTTGTGCCAGAAAACCATTTTAACACTTTGTTTTTCAATATTTCCTTTAAATGATAACACCTTGCAGACACTATGAAATGTTTACTTTTAGACCCACAAATGTTAGAAAAACACACTCTCAAAAGGGTAGGAGGTCACTTTTAAGGAATCCAGATCATCAGTGAATTAAAAAAAAAAATACCAAGAAATGTCAGAAATACAAGCTGATTAGAAGAGGCCGCGACTCTAGGGAGATCATTGCTGATGTCAGATGGCTCTTGGTTGAAAGCCAAGAGAGTACCATAAGGATGTCTATTTGTGTTTCATCCTCTATGCAAAAGAATTTGTATAGATCATTACAAATTGTGTCTAATATTGAGAAGAATGGGACTCTCAGAACATTTCATTACATTCATGTGAAACCTATACCTAGACCAAGAAACTATTATTCAAACGGAGCAAGGTAGCACTGCATGTTTCAAAAACAAGAAAAGGTATGTGAATCAGGAATGTATCCTTTCTCCATACCTTTTCAGCAAATATGGTGAACCGATCATTTGATAGACTGGACTTTATGAAGAAAAATGTCATATGAAGTTTGGAGGAAGACTCATGAACAGCCTGTTCATGAGTTAACACAAACTTGCTTGCAGAAACTGAGGAGGACTTGAAGCCCTTGCTGCAGAAGATTAAGGACTGCAGCCTTCAATATGGATTGCATCTCAATATTAAGAAAACAAAACCCTTCACTACCTAGCCAATAGGCAGCATCATGATAGATGGAGAAAAAGCTACCACCCCCCACGTATTGGCCTGATGGTGAAAAGAGAATTCGAATTCTGCTTGTTTTATAGAATTACTATGCAAGTCGTAAAAGTGTTTTTAAAGTTATGAATACTAGATAAATTCCACATGTTGGCAAGTAAATATCTACCTGTGGAGTCTTGGCTAGAATGGGCAGGAACCAGTACGTGGAGGGTCTGCATAAAGAAATGGGGAGGGTGGCTAGGAACTGGTATTTCTTTAGCTCAAAAACAAATGACTGAAGTTCTAACTTCTAAAACACTTCAGGGACTATTTCGCACACCAATAATAATTCTGTTCTGAGAAAAATGTTTAGGTAGATAAATCTCTTACATATTTAACAATAAAGAAATGTTCAAATCTTTACATTTTATGCCCATTATTCAAGTGCTCCCTGACTTAGGTTACCAGTATTGCAATGTTGTGGTTGTTGTTAGGCATTGTAGGGTTGAGTGTGATTCGTAGTGACCCTATTAACAACAGATATGATTTCTATCCTATGCTGTGCCATCCTCAATAGTAATACAAATGCTCTAGTTCTTACTCCATGCTAAGCTTCAATATCTTCCCTTGCCCAGTCTAATGCTGTGCAATAAAAAAAGTTTAAATTTGGAAGCGTTTTGTTCATAGGGTTGTTATGAATCATGCTCGACTTGATGCCAATCAACAGCAACAAGTGGCGCTGCTGGTGGTTTGAATCCACCAGCTATTATGTGGGAGAAGGATGGGCAACCTCTTCTTGTGCAATTAACTGCCTCTGAAAACCTGCTGGAGGGTCAGCTATGGTATACAACAACAGCCACATGATGTCATATATGGAGCACTGGTGGCCGAGTGATAAGAAGCTGGCTGGAATCCCCAAGGACTTTGGTTAGAGTTCACCTGCTGCTCTGTGGGAGAAGGATGGGCAATCCCTTCCCCAAGGATCAACTGCCTCTGAAAAACCACTGGAGGGTCAGCTGTGGGTTGATTTTAACTTGAAGTCAAACAACAACAAAAAATGATGTCAAATAGTAAGAATCACATTCTAAATATTGGAAATGATCATGTAAAAAAAATTACCCAAAGTATCAACAAGCATTGTCACAAAAAGTTCTTGGGGGGAATAAAGTTGAAGTCACAACATCATTGACATATCTATCTATATGCATATGAAAGTTGGACAATGAATAAATAAGACTAAAGAGAAAGTGATGCCTTTGAATTGTGATGCTGGTGAATAAAATGAAATACAAAATGGGCTGCAAAAGAACTACCTTGAAAAATATGCATCAAGAGTGTTTCTTGGGGTCAAGAATGATGAGACTTTATCTCACTTATTAGTCACGTTATAGGAGGACACTTTGAATCTAATAGCTGCTCCTCAGTAGAGTCCTTCCCATGTTGATTTACAGCTTCTGAAAACCCACTGGAGGATCAGCTATGAGTCAGTTCCAGTGGGAGGGCACATAACATCTACAGTTGTTCTTGGAGGAAGACATCATGTTTGTCAAAATAGTGGATTGGGAAAGAGGGTGTGAATGAAGACCTAGGAGAGATTGACACAGTAACTGCAACAATGGGCCCAAACCCAGCAGTAATGGTGGGGATAGCATAGGGCCAGGTATTGCTTCCTTCTGCTGTACATAAGGTTACTAGGTTGTTGTTGTTGTTGTTGTGTACTGTTGAGTAGGAACAGACCCATAGCTGACCCTCCAGAGGATTTTCAGAGGTAGTTAATCAAATGTGAAGAGATTGCCCATCCTTCTCTCATGGAGCAGTTGATGGATTCGAACCCCATGCCTTTGGGATTGTAGAGTAGAATCAAGTCTATGGTAACTAAGAACAATCACATACTATTTATTGATTTTCCAGTCCTTAACTGTTCCTTCATTTGCTCAACTGTTGAACAAGAGTCCAGATGAGATAATCTGCTTGTTTTGAAGCAATATTATTCTAAATTTGGAGTTTGGAGGAAATGACAAAATACACTGTGATAACACAAGCCAAGCAAAAAGTCAAGAAACCACAAATGTAGAAAAAGAAAACTGTCTCTTGGTAGACCAGCATCTTTGTGCAAGGAAAGGAGAAAAAAATGAAAAATAAAAGAATGATAAAAATACTAAGTATGGTTGAGGCTGGAGTTTAACTCCTGTGGCACAACTTGTCACCAAATAATAGATTTATAAAGTGAACAGTAACATCAAGGAGTTACTCTGTCCTTAAGACAATGCATCACACAAGGTAACAAGGACAGTATTTGGCCAGGGATAAAGCTGCAAAGGTAGAAAGGAAGAAGTAGTGAAACAAGAACCTCAGAGAGGTGGTGGGAGGAGTGATACAAAGTGGGAATTTTAATCAGTATCATAAAATTTGTGTGAATGGTTGAATGGTCTTATCACTAGACTTTCACTCAAATTACAATAAAAACTTTGAAAACAAAACAAACACCTCACAAAAGATTATAAATTTTTTTTTCTCCCATTCACATTGTTCTTTAAGATCATTCCCATACACCGTGTCTTATAAAAATAAACACCATTGTTCTATGGCCACTATTACTCAGTTCCTCTAGATTACTACTGGATCTTTCCTACTTTTTTCACCCCCTCCTTCCACCCATCAAACACTGGGAACCCGTGTTTTCCCTCCTCCTCCCCAGCCCTTTTACACCTCCCCTTTTCGAGTATTTCTTACTAGCTATCTTTCTGTTTTTATAATAATGGGAAAAAATTTTTTCTTTTATAAAGCAACATTAAAAAAAATCTTGCTCCAAACAGCCATCTTCGAGAAATATTGAGGACTTACTACATGCAAGGCACTGTTGCTTTTCCATTTAAAGAAGTAATTTTTATTTTGTTCTAAGTCTCTTAGACTTGAGTCGGTAAGTATAAAAAGTGATGCCAAGGTCAAGGAACGAGACAGTCTACAAATAGACCAAAAATAAAATGCAAATGACATCATTAGAAGGCGGGAGTGGGGGTAAGAGGGAGAGCCAACATGTTGCATACAGATCAAAGGGGGGGGAACAATTTGTTTGGTTAATATTGGGTTTTTGAGTATCTCGTGTGCCTGCGCTGTCCGTCCATCCATGCTATTCTAAACCGATGACAAGTTCATCTTCAGCGCGGACAGGGTGCAGACCACAGATTCCGTATAAATCCCACAATCCCAGACCATTTGCTAACTTTCCTCTCTGGGAAGGAAGGAGGCGTTTCCCCCTAGGGTGACGGTAAAATAAAGCAGCCTCTCCAAATCTCTGTGTCCAATAAGGAAGAAATGGTGTTCCTTTTCCTCCACCCCCTGACAAAGGAAAGAGATGGGAAATGAGGAAGGGAAGCTCTTTTCCTTTCTTTTTGAATTTCCCGCATCCCTTTTCTTCTCCGCCTCCCCACGCCTTTTTTCTACTTTAAGTAGCTGCGGGGGAGACCAGCACCAGGAACAAGGCAAGAGGCTGGGGAGCCGGTATTTGGGAAGTAGGCGGGACCGGGCAGATGAATAATTCGGTTTCTGATTTTTCTTGTCTTCAGTGGCAGTTCCTCCTCCGCTGAGTTACTCATTTGCACACGCGGCTGAGTTCTCGGCCCTCGATTACTCCGGCCTATCACCCTGGGATGCCGCCTGCCGCCGCCACCGCCGCGGCTGCTGGGCTTGTAGGATCCGCGGCGGAGCTCGAGCCGCGGCAGGAGCAGTGGCCTGAGAGTTAGGGGGGCGGGCCAGCTCATTTTTGGGGTGAAGGCTGAAATCAGGCGGGCTAGAGCTAGGGGACAACGGCTCCCCAGGCTAAAGGAACGGGCACTCCGAGCACCAGAGGCAGTGGCGGCGGGAGCCGGTCTGAGGGGGCGGCCCCTGGCGGCGACGCCCCCAGCCCTGCCCTAGCCGGCCCCGCTCCATCCCCAGCCCGAGCCGGCTCCGGACACGAAGGACGCGGGCGGAGGCTAAGGAAGACGGCTCCGAGGGGGCGGGAGGGCGAGCCTCCCTTCTCCTGAGTCTTTGCACGTCCGCTCCCGAGAGAGACCCACACCTGAGCCGGGACCCACCCCCGGCCAGGACCACGCTGGATCCGCCTCCCCGCCCGGATCCCGCCCGCCGGCTGCAGGTGGGCTGCAGCGCCCGAGTCGCGGGCAGTGGGCGGCGGGGAAGGAAGGAGGTGAGCGGCGCCCGCTCCGTCCGCTGCTCGGGTCCCTGCCGGGGTCGCCGCGCTCTCCTCTTCCCCTTGTCGCGGGCTGGGTGCGGAGTCCGGCTCGCGCCTCCAGCCTCGAGCCCCGGGGCACCATGGATCTCTCCCCGGCGTCTGGTGGAGCCGCAGAGGCGCTGTCCTGGCCGGAGATGTTCCCTGGGCTGGAGTCCGACTCGCCGCTGCCCCCGGAGGAGCTGGACGCCGTTGTTCCAGTCAGTGGGGCCATGACCAGTGGCATGCTGGATCGCATTCTTCTGGAGTCCGTGTGCCAGCAGCAGAGCTGGGTCCGGGTGTACGGTAAGGACCACCTGCCCTCTTCGGGGCATCATCTTCACTTATCTCTGCTACAGGCCAAATGCATTCTTTCACCTCAGCTCTATTCTCAGTCCCTTCTTCACCTTGGATCAGTTTTCCACATCTTTTTTTTTTTTTTCTTCTTCTGTACTGCGTTTCTGACACAAGTTTGTCCAGGTTGACACCTCGGTAGAGAGCGGTGCGTCAGTGTGGTCTTTGGATCTCTGTCTGCTTCAGGTTTCTGCAGTAAGTTAAGGATACAGTTGGACTATGTAGACTTGATTTGTAGACTTCAACAGAACTGTCAACCCCTTATGAAGGTGTAACGGGACACCCTGTGAAATCAAGCGAATGGGGGGCGGGGGTCTCATCTTTTTCTCTTGTCAAGTGAAGCAAGTCTAGAAACAATATGTACTGAACATGCTTAGTAGAGGATAATAAGCAAACGAGTAAAATAAAAACAATACCCTAAAAACCCTAACAGAAATATCAAAAGATATATATACCTATTTTGTGGGAACAAGCCAAAACCTCTAACCTCTTCCTGAACTTTATTTTCTAAACTCAACTACTCAGTCGAAAAGGGGTGGATTGTTTCAGATTGCACTATTGTTTCTGGTTCTCTTTGTAAAGTGACATCGTTGCTACTCAGCAGGCTAAAAGTGATGAACACACTGAAACTTTCCCTTTCTGCATTCCTAGTAACCACCTCTTTAATTAAAACTGAATGAGGAGATTCTGTTAGAGACAGCCTTGTGGCAGCATTATAACTGCGCTGATTTTGAAAACTCATAGCCCAGACATTTATAGGCTGGCACTCAGGATTTAGCCTTGGCTTTTCCAAAATATCAAAACACCAAGATGTTTATCAGTTGGCTCACAGGAGCACAGAAGACAGTAGTGTGGCAGGGTATAAGATAGCAAATTTAAAGTGCCTGGGATCAACACTGTTAGATGTTATCCTGCAGTCATGTGCATCTGAGCCCTTAGGTAAATTATGTTTCATCCTTGCGAGCAGTCAGGGTATGTGTTTGCTATTCAGGACTGATCAAGACTTAGAAGTTGCTTTTCTGGATAGTTCAGTTGGCTTTGGGACTCCATGCCCATCACTCAGGAAGAACGTAGAACTAGTTGAGAGATATGAGCTCTGTGGTTTGGGGCAGATTGGGTTACTCCCCTTTCCTCCCAATTCTTTGCCTATAAAATGAAAAGATTAAAAGGAATAATTTCTAAGTACTTGTTTCTTGGGTTCTAAAAATCCAGCAATTCTTCTTATGACCAATTCTTCATAAGGATTTACATGTATAGGCTTTGTATTTTGGTGAGTGATTTTTAACTGTTTCTTGATGTCATTCTGTTGACCTGAGAATTGAAGCAGAGAAGTGAGAGATGATGCAAGGTCACCTCGTTTGTTTTCAGTAGATGAGATTAAAAATTTTAGTGCCTGATTTTCCATCTGTCTGTTAATCCCATTTAATTGATCGCTTACAACTAAGGATGACGAGTATGAATATATTACAGCTACAGCATTTTCCTAATGTTGCTGTTTCCTTGTTATCCTTACACACTTGTGTGGCTTACTGTGTTTTATATGAAGTTAGAGATTGGGCCATGCTAAACAAGGATATGCGCAGTCTCCTGTGTGATTTACAGTGTCTGTAAACCTTCTGGAGGGCCAGCTATGGGCGGGTTCTGACTCGATGGTACTCACCAACAATAAGCAAGAATATATTCACACAAGTATATAAGAATAAAGAATACACACACACACACACGAATATGTATTATATTTAAAATAATTCATAGCTTCAGTCTTCAAAACTCCGTGTTTTCTAGACCTATGTTAAATGTTATTCTTGTAGTCCCATTTCTAGCATTTAATTTTATCTTAAAAAAATATACATTATGCATATTGGTGCCAAGTTGCAGATTTTCCAGTAGATTGTAACTTTCTTTTTCTCTCCAACTCCTCTATCCGTTAGCCAGAAGTTGATTTTATTTATTGTTTATGACTACCGCTTTCCTTCCTCTAAGGTGGTGCATCCTGGATTCTACTTTGTTGTTTTTAACTTAATGTAAATATTTCCAAACTTATCCAGTGTGACGCTTAACTTTTCTGTATGCTTGGCTAGATTTTAAATTGTGTATTGTATTACTCTTTGAAAAAACTTTAAAGTAAAAATAATATAAAGACTCAACTTGAAGGACACTAGGTTTGGTTTGTTTTGAATACTCAAAACCCTGATCATATATCATATTCTACTTAAATATAAGATATTTTTATGAATATAGTCTAATGCATTTTGAGAAAATAAAAAAATTTGGAACCTAGTCTAAGAGTATATAATCAGATGTTGAGAACCTGGGTTTTCATTCTAGCTTTGCCACAAATTGACTGTCTAACTTGAAGAAAGTAATTTTAGCTCTTTGGGACTAAGTTTATACATAAAATTTGAAATCCGGGATAGGTAGTATCTGTGGCCACTTTTAGCTTTCAAGTTGTCTTGAGTCTGTGGCCTTCCTGCAAATTTGCCTTCAAATTTCATCCTAGCTCTTGGGGTCAGGAGTCAAACATGGCATTAACTTAATGATTAAGTTTGAATATTGTGATTGTCAGGGGATTCTGGGGAGCACTTTTATCAAGAGGTCAGTGAACTGAGTTTTGAAAGAAGGAATGTTGAAGGTAGTTGTGTATTTGTTTGGAATGTTTTTATAAGATAGGAAGCTGAGGACGAAGTTCTTCCACAGGTGCAGCTCATACAATATTAAAACATAACCTGTAATAGCCATGTGAATTTGAAAGATATATACAAAATAAACTGTATCAAGTACTGCCACCTGATGCTATGGTTCCTATCTTCTGTGATAACCTCTTTGAAATAATATACAAACAAACAATACCGCCTTCCCTAAAACTGTCTTAATAGGCGTTTTCTGGAACTCTATTTTAATTAGTTTGCTTCACATAATTTCAAGACTGGGTCTTGTTCTGACTTTGTAATTGACAAGTTTGGTTGATAATACCTGTATCTAGAGTTTAATATAATGCTGCAATTTAGAAATCTTTTTTGGAATATGTTCAGAAATTTTTAATAGGTTAGCCTCTATTTAGAATAAAAATAAATGCACATCTCTGACAGATTGCTAAGAGAAAAGATTTATGCTGCCATGATCTTAATTTTTTCTGTTTAGTTGTAAAATGTTTTATTCTGGTATTAAGTTGTAATCATGCCCTGTCAAGACTATAAAACTCTTGAGGTCAGTGGGTTTGTCGTGTTTATTTTTATTTTCCTATCTTTTCCAGCCATATCACTGTCACTGTGTCTAACAAATGGGTACCTTGCTCATACTGTTCAGTGTCTGTTGCTTGTTGATCTATCTGTACTTAGACCATCTAGATCTCAACCTGACAGTTCCTAAGGGTTGTGGAATAGCTGAAACAAAGGCATGCCACAAACAGCTAAATATGGATGCAGAATCCAAGAGCATCAAATGCAGAACATTTTTCAGATATTTATAGCCTCAAAGCAAAGTCAATTGGCTGAAAAAGCTCAGCAGCCTAGCAAAAGGAAACGGGAGCAGCAAAGCTTAGCCTCGTTGTCTGTGTTTTCTGATAAACAATGAAAACATTAAAATTAAGCTACTTTACCGGGAGTGGATGGCAAGTGCTGGACACCCTTTGGTAGTCATTTAAAATGCCAGTCCCTAGGACTGTCTACAGTGGAGTGCTATGCTTATCAATGCAAGTGTATGTATGCATAAATTGCTGTTGAATCACAAGGGGGGAAATATAATCACCATGCTGAATAATCAGCAGAAATGTTATACGTTCTATTGTTGTTTGCCCTTGAATCGGAACTGACCCATGACTGACCCTCTAGCTTATTTTCAGAGGCAGTAAATTGGTCTGTCCTCCTGAGGAGCAGCTGGTGGATTTGAGGGCCTTTGCTGTTGCAGCACAGCTTCTTTACCATGAGGTCACCAGAGCTCCTTATGTTCTATAGTAGGAAGTATCTGAAATATGTGTTTAATGAAATGAGTAATGTTGCAATTTACCATTAACTTACCATAAAGTGGTTCTGAGAGAAAAGACCTGGCAATCTATCTGGTAATATTTCAGTTTAGGAGCCTGGGAAGACATTTCTGCTCTGTCATATATGGGATTCTTGTGAGTTGGAATTGACTAGATGGCACACTGCAGGCCTAGTGGGTAAAGAGTTGCACTGCCAGCCTAAAAACATGCAAATCTACCAGCTGCTCTAAGGGAGAAGATGGGTAATCATCTCCCTTGCAATTTGCAGCCTCTGAAAACTTGCTGGAGGGTCATTTATGAGTCAGTTCAGACTTTATGACACATAACAATGGTATATATAGTTAATTTTTTTTTTGTGATTGAAAGCCTGCCAGAAAATTTCCAAAAGATAGATTAGTGCTGTTTTATTGTTAAGTGCCAGTCCAGTCGCCTGTGACTCATAGCGACCCTATGCACAACAGCCCTAAACCCTGCTCTACCCCTTGACAATCCTATTGTCTCCAACATGCCCATCTCCATAACCCCAGGAACTGAAACAATCCATCTCATCGAGGAGGACGTCATCTCCCAAGCATGACGTCCCTCTCAAAAGACTATTTTAGGAAACATAATAAAAATATAATTCATATAATTCTTGAAATGGTAAGAATTTCTCAGAGACTGGATATGAGTTGATTGGACATAAGTCTTGACTGTGTATTTTATTGCTTATGCTTCAGGAATTTGCACAAAGGATGACATTTATTTTACATTTTTTTTGAATATTCCTATTTCAAATTTTGCAACCAGTAACAAGTCCATTTTTTCCCTGCATGAATTGGATCAGTGAAAGAGGAAGAAACCCAGTGAGGTGGATTGACACAGTGACTGCAGCTGTGGACTCAGGTTTATTTGAGATGATGAAGATGGCACAAGATAGGACAGGATTCAAGTCTGTTGTTCATAGGATCCCTGTGAGTCAGTCATACAT